ATCCATCCATCCATCCATCCATCCATCCATCCATCCATCCATCCATCCATCCATCCATCCATCCATCCATCCATCCATCCATCCATCCATCCATCCATCCATCCATCCATCCATCCATCCATCCATCCATCCATCCATCCATCCATCCATCCATCCATCCAATCCATCCATCCACCCATCCATCCAATCCATCCATCCATCCAATCCATCCATCCACCCATCTATTCATTCGTCATTCACTTTTTTATTTATGTCCATGTATGTATGTATATATATATATATGTGTGTGTGTTTATATAATTATATTTGCACACACACGCGCGAGCGCACACACACACACACACACACACACTCTCTCTCTTTCGTTAGTTTCTTGTCGTATCGTTATCACGGCGATCACAGAAATCGTGACTGTTCGGTCCGTTGACGAATCTTTGGCGTAGCGCTTAGCACACACTATTGCACGTATCTTTTTGTACTCTTTTCAGTCGGAGCAGAAGTCGGATGCACCTAAAGATAAGGATGCACCTGTCGCTGTCCCTGCTCCACAGGTAACGTGGCTTTATTTTTCTCTGATCCTTGCTTCGTATCCTTCCGATTGTACGTCCATCGCTCTACGTTTTCCTATGCTGGAACTATTCTCGACTTACCATTTATACACTTCTTTCTTTCTGCACTTTACACCTTGGGATCAGTTTCTCCCGGTATCTCGTTAGCCTCGATCCTTTTCAGCGTGGACATCCTGTTTCCGCGCCTCGATGCTTTTCATCGCTCTTTCGTGTCGTACATCTTTCTTATCGTAAAATTACTTTCGTTTTGCCGTCTGTTTTGCGAATCGGCAAAGCATGGCTCCTAATTCAAACATAAACGATCGTTGAACTTTGTCCGTTTGACTTGCAGGAAAGTCAGCCGGTCCAGAACACCACCACCGAAAGCACCGCTTAACCAAGAGTAATGGTACCACTACAACAAAAACACTCCTTTTAATATATAACACCAACACCCGTTATACACCGAAGCAACAGCAACGACAACAGCAACCGCAGCAGCAACAATATAACATAACAAATGAAAAAAGTTAAAAAAAAAGCGAAACAAAAAAAAGCAAGAAATGGAAGGAAATTGCGGAACATCGCTCCACACTCTCCCCGGCAGAGAAAGAAGAATAAGAAGCGTGTCCGATATGCTGCCGGAATTAGTTGATAGAATACGCTGGGAAGCCTCGTCGCGAAGAAGAAACACGATCCACGACATGTATCGACTACGAGCGAGCAAACTCTCGAGTTGGACTTACCGCCGTACGACCACCGTTTTTCATTATATTTCTGTGAAAATTTACAGATTTTCGATTGTGTAAATCTCGTCACTCGTCGAAATTCGAAAGATTGTAAGAAAAAGCGATCGGAAGAGACGCGGGAAAGAAACGTAGCCGATGAATGACGGTTTTATTCCGCGAACTGGGACGAAACGGCGGTAAGTCGTGTATTTTGGAGTATTTCGTCCGACGACGGCGGTGAAAATGGCAAAGAAAATGCGCGATTGTAACGCAACGAATTTCGTTCTGCGTCAAGTTACGAAAGTTAGGTAATCTCGATCGTGGAAGAAACAACGAAGAGAGAGAAGAGAAGAAACACGGTGATGGGCTACACAATACGAATTCGAATAGGCGAAAGTGGTATTTTTGTTCTTGTTTTTGCGTATTTATTGTTTCATACGTTTTAATTTTTCTTCAACGAAACGCATTCGATCGTTTTACGCATATATATATGTCTTTGAGTTTAACGCGATGCTCGCAGAGTTTTTCTCTTGTCCGTGTACATGTAATCGGTAAATGCGCGCGCGCGCCCCTGAAATCATAGGAATACGTTACTACGCGCGCTTACCTGTCATTGTGCCAGCCAGCTTAATCGTTTCAGTTTCTCTCGAAATTACTCCGTTCTTTTTTTTCCCCCCTCCCCCTTCATTGAAACGCAATGTTCGATTCGTTTCGAAAACCAGTCGTCCGTCGTGTCGCTTTTGTCTCTTCGGTCCTCGTTGGTTCGTGGCTTATATATGCTTTGCAAAATCGCAACGAGAAGATTCGTTCGATGATCAGCGACTAAACGCAATTATAAATCTCATAGAATTTTCTGTCCGATCGCGTAATTTAGCGACGCGAAACAAATTGGCGCGGTACCTTTTACGATCGCTCGTATCAAATGACGCGATCGATGCCCCAGGAGGGCACGAAACGTATTATCCGACGATAAGCAACGAGATGTCACGCGTAAGGCGTTAACCGAGAATCCGATCAATTTTTGCCGTAATTTTCGGTGTAACGAGTCGATAACGTTCGATCATGGTGGAAGAACTTTGCCGTCGTTGCTCGAACGTATCGATCCTCGGAGATGTCGGAAATTTCCTCTCGATTGACAATGCAAACCTGCGGTTTGTCAGTGAGTAAATGAGCGAGCGAGCGAGTGAATGCGCGAACGAGTGAGATAGAGCAAGAGAGAAAGAGAGAGAGATAGAGTGATAGAGAAAGAGAGAGAGGAATAGAGAGAGAGAGAGAGAGAGAGAGAATAAGAGAGGACGAAAGATTTATACACTTTTGCATGAAAACGGAACAATTTTTTAAATTTTAGTTTGTAGTTCTATCGTCGGAAAATAAAATGTACAATTTTCTTTCCAAACGCTTCGAAGTTGAGCGCGCAAATTCGTTGCATCAGATTTTATTTCATTTCATGCGAACAAGATATCTTTTAGTTTTTTTGTCTCTGTCTCAATCTGTGTCTGTGTCGTCATCGCAATCTTTTTTATGGTCGCTATCGTCCTATCGTAAGGCTATTTTGCGATCTTCGTTAAAACGGCTTGTGCGTTAGTCACCTCGAGTGCTTTTTGCAATAGAGCCTGGAACGGTGAAACACGATCGGGAGAAAAGAGCGACGAGGTGAAGACAGAGTGGAGAGTGTGTGTGCGTGCATGCGTACAAATATAGCGTAAAATGAGGAATAACAACTGCTGATCTTCGTGTTCCTCCGCGGTCGATCGAAATGAAAGCGGGAACAGGGAAGATGGTAGCGCGTCGGTTCGTCGTCGATTCGTCGTCGAATGCGCGCTGCTTGACGTTTCGCGTTTTTTTGTACGCGATCCATACAGAAGGATGTGTTGCCGCGGGACGCGAGCTAGCGACGAGGAAGAGGAGACGAAGAGCGTGAAAGAAAATAAGGTAAACGACTCCTGGACGCAGAACGTTGTAATTGTATGCGGAAAAAAGAACGATGCATGTGTTGGAAGTGAATATCGGAATTAAAAAAGAAATAGAAGCAAAGAGAAAAAAGAGGAGTCGTGCGCGGACCAGTATGCTAGCAGGCAACGTAACGTCGAACTTGAACCGCGTTTGAAGTGAACGGCGAGCACGGAGCGCGCACGGTCGCGAACGGTGATCCCTCGAACGAATTGTAACGTCGGCGCGTTCGCGTTTCGAAGGCCTGTGGAAATGCGTCGAGTAGGAATCGTACTCGGCGCTCTCGATACTCTCGTATCGTTCCCCCTAGCGCGGCGCGTGTCTTTGAAATCGCGCTCGTTTCTCCACGAGGAACGAGATCGAGAAGGTCGCGCGTCACGATTCGCGTACCACTCGCTGCGACAGTCAATTAGTTTTAATTCAGCTTTTCGCGAGGAGCGATCTCGATGATGAGAGAGACGTCCCGGATCGCGCGGGACGAAACGGATGATGAAAAAAGAAAAAGGAGCGAAAGAAAGGGGAGAATCGAGAGAACGCTCCCGTGTCTCGAAGAAGAGAGAGAGAGAGAGAGGGTAGTCATCTAATTACACGTAAAGGAGGAGACGTAAATCTTGCCGGTCGCGACACGGATGCGCCGCGTTTGCCGCGCGCGTCCCACGTGTCGCCGCTCGATCGAAACCACCCCGGCGATCCATCCTGCTCTCCTCGTCCTTGCCCCTTACCTTCATCTTTACCTTCCCCGTTATCCCTGTCTTCGCTTTCACCTTTATCCTTGTCCTTATCCTTACATCTCTCCTTACCCTCACCCTCACCCTTACCCTTACCCTTCCCTTGTCCGATTTCCGATCCGCATCTTTCATATTCTCATTTCCTCGAAACCCCAGTGAATTTTGTACCGAAATGCGAAACTTTGAAAAGCTACTTTCATATACGGAATTTAATTTTTTCACGAAACATGTGCATTATAAAAAATAAATGCCAAAAAAATCGCAAAACTCACGAACCGAAGGTGAAGTTTCTTACGTTTGCGTCGAGCTCACTTTCTTCTCCCTTTTCCCCGATCCTTTCGCGCGCTATTTCAGCAAAAGAAGTTGCGCTCCTCAACATCTTTTTTAACATCTTTATTCGAACGACCTTGGAGATGAGAGAAAGCTGCCTGCTGAACGAGCGTACGACGGTCGTTCGATTTTCCGTTGGTTTCGGAATCGATCGGCTCCGCTGAGATTCACTCACGGAAAGCGATCGGGAAGGAATCGGGCCGATAGACGTTGCCTTCGTCCGCCATACAGGCACTGGCTGCGATTTCCGCCAGGTGCGTGTCCTTGTGAGGAGGTACGGCCACTCTGTGAAATTTGCTCGCTGCCTCGAAGAACGCCTTCAACGCTCTCTCGGGTTGTTCCTCCTCCATCGCGGCGAATCCCTCGGCGTACAGGTGCTCGCACTCGCGCACCCGGTCCATCGGTTCTCGCAGGTTGATTCTTCGTCGACAGGACGAACATTCGATGGATCTGTCGGGATCTCGGGGACGCGGGTGTAGCTTGGAGCATCCCTCGGTCGGACACCTGCGATCGAAAAGCAATTCTCTCTCCCTCGCTCGCTCTCACTCTCTGCCTCGCTTCGCGAATGCAGGCGCGAATACGCGGTACTATACGTCGAAGAAACAAGTTCACACCTCAGTCTGACCATGTCGTTGGTCAAAGTCTCGAAGCGTGGCCAATCTTCGCGGCAAGCGGTACACTCGCAACGAAACCAGTATCTCGCGGCGAGAGTTCTCCGTCGATCCTCCAGGCTTCGTTTGGTGAAAATCGGCCCGTAGTTTTCAGCCACCGCGTCTCCGGCTCGGAGACTGCGAATCGCCCGAATCACGATAGATCGACCGACGAAGTATCTGTGGCAAGAGAGAGAGAGAGAGAGAGAGAGAGAGAGGACGATTTATCGAGTTAAAGCTACGCGCGTAGGTGTACGACGAACGGTCGGTCGGTCGGTATAGCTAAAGCTGTAGGGTACCTGGTTACCGCGGGATAACAGTCGTGATTGAAGCGTGCAACGGTCGGATAGATGGCCACCCCGATGTAAAGGGGCCTGCTACCGCGGAACCGATGTTCGTTTCCGAGTCGCGTCTCGAACACCTCGTGAGCGTTGAACTGCAGCAGCTGAAGATGTTTCAGCAGCAGACCGGCCACCGCGATTTCTCGATCGTTGGGCGTCTCTGAAACGCGAACAGCACGCTGCTGAAATTGCCGATGGACCGCGACACGGACCGCGCTCAAGTACCTCCGTCTCTCGTCACTGTCTCGAAAAAGCCGACTCTCTGCAAACACTTGAGAAGAAAGACCGCCATCAGCGATCTCTCGAAGAAATCCTTAGCCGTTCTGTGTTTCTCGTGCGTAACGAGATCGTACACCCGCAGATCGGCCGCGTCTCCTTCCACGAGTTTCTCTCGCTCCGTTCCACGAGGGACTTGCTCCGCGGGTTGCTCGCGTCTCGAATCGCGCAGTTTCCTCCTTCTCGAACGACGTTTCGCCGACTTGCTAAGTTTCGCCTGTGCTTGCGTGCACGGTCGTGCGACCTGTTCCTTCTCGTTGCAACTTAACGCGCGGCAGATCTCGATGCAGCCGGTCAGTCCGCTCTGAGTGGTCATTCGCAGAGCGAGCATGCTCAAAACGCTCATACCCGAACCTGACGAAACGACGGAAGCGATTGCCTCTCGGTGCGAAACACCGTCTATATCGATTATTTCGAGAATCGCTCGTTCCATACTACCTATCAGTAGCGCGAGAACTTTGCACTCGTATTTATGGTAGCTGGCCATCGCCGCGTCTCTGCACTCTCTGCCGCAGAAGGCGACGCTGCTGCAGTCCGGACATCCTATCGGTGCTACGAATCTGAAAGGACGACGGGCATCTGTAGGAAGTTGCCGACATGGAGCGTACGCGGCGGAATCGAGCCGTCACTCACCTCGAGAAACAATGTTGACAGTGCGTACCGAAGAATTCCGGCAGCAGAGTAGCCGCGTACGGCGCCTCCACGACCAACCTGTCCCCCGGTTCGATCGGTTCGGCGGCGATCGCTCGTTTGCCCGCGTTCTCCGTCTCCTCGATGTCGAGCAAGGTGGAGGCGCCCGGCAGCCGCGGATTCTCGTCGCTGGCCAATCGGGCCGCAGCTGCGAACGAATCGAAAGCGAACCTAACGAAAAACGCGCGTTTCTCCGTCGTGTCGTCTTTTCGCGATATTCCTTCGATCGATCGACGGAATCGAAACGTCTCCGTTCTTCTCCGTTGGGGCGACAGCCACGAATCGCCACTCACCTACCTTTATCACGCGACGACGTTCTCGCGGGCAACAGCTTCTTTCCGTTCGCACGTACGAACGTCTCGCACGCCTTCTTCGTCCGAGCAAACGTCGTCCTGAAACAGCACTTTTCCTTTCAGCCGGGTTTTCGTCTTTCGCCTCGTCGTCTCGACTCGTCCAGACTCACCGTAGCTCGTTGGGCAGATCGCCGTCCATTTCCTCGACGAAACTCAAATCGCGAAGGGCGAGCTCGAGCTCGTTGCAGGCGAGAAACGTCTCGGCTCTGGCTAGGAGCGCGAGCGGTAGTCCGAGACCTCGATCGACCGTGCGGCATTTTCCTGAAACGGGACAAGGGGGAAAAGAGAGAGAGAGAGCGAGCGAGAGAGGAAGGAAACCGATCGGACGATCGATCGACGGATGGATCGTCGCGAGTCTACTCGCCAAGAGAGAAACAAACCTGGAAGGGGAGCGCGAAGAACGGCTTGACCGAAGAGCAACAGAGCTTTCCGTCGATCGCCTGCGGTCGCGGCCTCGAATCCCTCGAGCCTCCTCGCTCTGGACACGTCGGCGTCCTTGCCGCGGTACAGAATCTCCGTTCGATTCAACGTTTCCAACACCGTGTCCTTCACCTTGGCATCTGTGAAGATGGCTCGAATCCTTTGCTCGTCGCTGGTCAGCCGTCCGAAAACCTGGCAGATCCACCGCTCTCCGGCGACTCGCGTCGCGTTTTCGCTGAAATCTCGGAAGAATCCCTTCTTTCCGGATCTGAGAGTCTCCAGCGAGCACAGGTCCCTGTAAGATGAGTCCGCTCGCGCCTCGTCGATCGCGTTAATTCGCTGCATCTCCAACTCGCTCGGATCTCCGTGAACGCTCGCGCTCGAAAGCGGCGAATTTCGGCAGAATTTCGGCAGAATTTCGGCAGAATTTCGGCAGATACGGTAGAGATAGCACGTATACGAGCGAAAAATGCGGCGAGATCGGGT